CAGGCTTATTCTTCGTGTTGTTGTTGTTGTTGTTGTTGTTGTTGTTGTTGTGCTTAAGGTGCAGATATTGTGTATATGTGTATTATGATACATGTATATACATGTATGCATATCATGTGTATAGATATAGCAAGCATGCATACAAGTATCCATCCCAGCCCATCCCACCGAGACCCGTTGTTCGCGGCCCAAATCCGGGGTTGTCCCAGGCGCGCAAGTCGGTATCAATAAGGCCTCTTGATACACATTTTTGGTGGGCCGCAAAACCGGGCTGATGCTCACTCATGATGCTCGCGTTGACTTCGCCCCAAACCCGGCTGATGCTCATCATGCTCGTTTTCTGGTGGGGGCTGGTTGCTTCCACTCTTCTTTACTGGGGGTGGCGGGGATCGGCCCGGACGGACGCCGGACGGACGCCGGACGGACGCCGGACGGACGCCGGACGGACGCAGGGCGGACGCAGGGGCGGACGCAGGACGGACGCCCCCAAAAGTGGGTTTCCGCCTCTGGGTCAAAAAGGCGCCTTTCCTACGCGGACGCGTCCGGGGCGGGCCGCCGAAAGACGCCCCTGGGCCGCCAAAAGCCGCCTTGCGGACGCTTCTGCCATAGCACCGAATCACGAAACGCCTCGCGCGCCAAAAACGGACGCTGGCTATTGGTTGTATATAATACTGGAAAGATTGTGACCGAAGCTCACTGCACCAACGTTTGGGCCACAAACGCTTGAAACTCTGCCGGGATTTGCAAATCCTTCACCTTCCGAAGGTAGCACAGTAGCTCACTCAGACAGGCATCATCCCACCGGTCGTTGTTGAGGTAGGCATCCAGCAGCTGGGGCAAAGGGGTGGTTTGACCCACCTCATTCAGGGTTTGCGAGACACTTTGATGTGCCACTGTCGGGTCCTCTTGTCTCTCCATTCTCGCAAGCAAGCACACAACCACCCACCCATCCACCCATCCTTTCAGCCACCCATCCACCCGGCCACCCCGACCCAGCCATATATACTACACACGCCACACACACACACAACACACACACACACACACACACACCACTCACGCACACACACACACACAATAGACTTGTATGCATACACTTGACACTGGCAGCATTGGCATCGGCACTGCGTTTGTACAATGCTTTGGTCTGCTTTATAATAAATGTACTTTGGCTTCATACCATGCAGGCTTTGTATACAGGAACCCATCGGTGTTGATGTGGCGTTTCATACGATTGCCAGGGTTCGATTTCCACAGGTCTTGGATTCGGTTCGTGATGCTCACACACTTATAGAGACTCACTACCGGTGTTTGTTGCATACTTTTGATCTATGCACAGTCACTCCACCGATACTGTCATTCACGTGCTCTCTGTCTCCCCTCTCTCTCTCTCTCTCTCTCTCTTTCTCTCTCTTTTTCTTGCCTTATCTCAGGCTCCTCAAAGTCATGGCAACCACAGATCGCCACAAAAGTCTCCCGTCCCCATAAACGCCTGAATCTCCTGAAGCTCCATAAGCCCCACACGTTTGGGATCCGGTCCCGGCTTTCTTCCAAGGCGGCGGTGGCGATGGTGAGGACCCGCACTGCGTACTTGCGGGTATACGTCCTGATTGAACTGTATTACTACTACTACTACTACTACTACTGCTACTAGTACTACCACAAGTACTACTATTACGTACTATTGCAGGGAGTTGCAGGGAGCAGTATAAAGGGCTCTGGGTTAAGCTTGGGTTTGGAGTTCTCAAGGAGTATAATATCAGAATATTACATGTATATATGTGTGTGTATATATATATATATATCTAGAGTTCTCCGGGAGTCTCAGGGCACTAGGGTAAGTTTGCTCTGATGGAGCACTACTCTGGGTAAAGCTTGGGTTTGGAGTTATGAGGGATCTATATAGGGGTTTGGAGTTGTCAAGTAGTATTAGGGCTCTGGGTTAAGATCGGGTTTGCAGCTCTCAGGGAGTATTAGGGCCTGGGTTAAGTTTGGGTTTGCATGGACTTTTGTGGGAGTATTAAGGCACCGGGCGAAGTTTGTTCTCAGGGAGCATCCGAACATTAGGTTAAGCTTGAGTTTGGGGTTCTCATGGATTATTAGGGGCGTATTGAGGCACTGGGTTAAGTTTGTTGTCAGGCAGCAAAAGGGCATTGGGTTAAGGTTTGGCTGTCTCAGGGAGTATTAGGGCCTGGGTTAAGTTTGTTCTCAGGGAGCACTGAGGCTGGAGGTTAAGATTGGGTTTGGAATTTTCACATTCTCAGGGAGTATTGCGGGACTAGGCTGAGTTTGGGTTTGGAGTTCTATTAGGACCAAGCTTGGGTTTGGACTTTTCAGGGAGTACTACAGCACTGGGTTAAGTTTATTCTCAGGGAGACTCAAGGCTCTGAGTTTGGGTTTGGGGTTGTCAGGGGGGAGTATTCGAGCTCTGGGTTAAGTTTGGATATGGATCGGGTCTCGGGCGGTATTGTAGGACCTGGGTTAATCCATGGGTTTGGAGTTGTACTGTTAACTAGAAAGTCGACTTCGTTGAAGGAAGCCTAACTAAACGCCCAAACCCCACATTACACAAAGCTCGCAGCCCTGCCCTCAACAGGAACTCCAAGAACCGGGGCTCCAGTTCATATTCCAGGAAATCCTCGCTAGCGCTCCGAAGGGTATATAGATTATACATCGAACCAACTTAGAGCCTGCAGCTCCGAAGGACCCTTGGATTCTAAAGTAAATTCCCGACACTATGAAATTTAGGCTAGCATTTCATGTCGAACTACAATATCCCATACGCTGGCGGTGCGACGACGGTGGTAACGACAACGGCGACGACGACAGCTGGGATGTTATCTCGATGCACATTACACATCATCATACAAACCATCGATGCCGTTGCGTGCATTGAGCTAACTACAAGGAGAGAGCGAACGATATAATACATATCGAATTAAGCGTTCTACACATGTATACACATTCATGCTTGTTCCTGCACATGTACATAATCTAATTTAGGACAAGGAGCTGCGTCCCTTTCAGGGTAGAGGCTCCCGTGTACACACGACGGCCGTTCTTCTGCCCCCCAGGAACTGAAGTGCGGAACTCCCCTTTCAGCTCTGCTCGTGTCATTGATCCGGAAGACAATAAAGTAAGAAACTGTGTATTACCCCACACTATGGATCTCTTCGCCGTAGCTGAACCCCAGGCACGCATCCAGAAGGATTGCTTGAACATCTTGGCTGCACTGTTTACTCGAGCTGAAGTGTGTAACATGACACAATCACACAACTGTATATGTACATACCAACCATGCAAGGAGCTCTCATGTTAAGCTCCTCCATGCGCTCAAGCAGCCAAAGCATCCTATCATGTCGAATCATCAAGGACGACGATGGCTGCTCCAACATCCAGATGGCGTTGAGGCACATGATGAGTCCATAAAGTAACACGGTCCTCGGGGAGCAAGTGTCGTTCGATGGTTTCAGGGTCCTAGGCTACCAGTCCAAGCTAGCTATGCACATTCAGTGTCTGAACTAGATAGCAAGAATCCGGGCCACCATCAAATTAGCAGCTTGGATCTTGGCATTCGCACAGTTCCCCATGGGAGCCACAAACGAGCGCATGTTGCCCACACCACCCCGTGATGCACTAATCCAGCTCGAGCAGACAACCCCAAAAGATGCCAGGAAGTTATCCTTTCCTTGTAGAGCAGCAAGGATGCTCAATCTTAGTTGCGGCAGACACGAATATCTAGCAGCCACGCAAACAACTGCCTGCAGATCCTCTTAAAACAAGAGTAGGAACGCGAAGCCAGCTGCCGAAGTCATATCCATGGCCCGGTTTGCATAGTCTATGTCGATGGCAGCAGCCCCAAGACCCATTCGCCTAGCTGATCTCGCGATTACTGCTTTTCCTGCGAAATAATCTACGACATCGAAGTGCTGGTTGATGGCATCCAACGACGGAGCCCAACTGAGTAGAAGGACTGCCACGATGAAGGCCTCACACATGACTTTAACATGACAGAAACAATAAACCCCTCGTTGGCGAATTGAGTGACACGACAAGACACCTTGGGAAGCCCAAATGCCACCATATTTCTCACCAGCAAATCAAGGCGGGGATTCAGCACCATGGCTACGGCGACTACGACTGGCGAGCGAAGCCCAGCCCTTACCTTGAAAAGAAACCTGAGGAGTCGACTTCCACTCACCCACACTCAAAGCTCGTCACTGCACTTTTCAACATTAAACGTGGCAGAGAGCCTGTATCCCGATCTCCTGCTAGTCCATATCTGACGAAGAAAGAAGCCTCGGCACAGGCGGCACCAGGTCATTGGGACGGGTATTTTATTCAGAGTTTGGAGCAACCTACGAACTTCATGCACTGCAAAACAATTAAGTTTCTTTCACTCCCCACATGTAGCACCGTTTTGCCCTGACACAGTGGTCAAGGTTCGGGACACAGGTCTAAGCATCCTCGCTGCCCGGTAATCGTACTTTGAGACTCAGCCCGGGGATGCAAGCAGCTACGATAAGCCCCAAGCTTTTCTCTAAGTGGACAAGACCTTGGCCCGAAAATACTCCAAACTTTCATCATCTACAAAGCTGTGGCAGGATAAAGCCTTAATATAGGTACCCCGAAAACCTACTCATGCCAATCTCAATATCTAATGCATGCTGCTGTATATAAATGTAAGACCCAGAAACCCTCGAGATATATATATATATATATACACACACACCCCATATAAGCCCTAAACACCTACAAACCCCATAAACACTAATACCCATGCGTACCCCAAGCTAGTTATATATATATATATATAGTGGAGCCTCGGGCTGTCCATAGTTGGATGTACTTAGAGTTCTTGAATGGCAGGATGATGCAGGCTGCTCCAAATTATTGAAAGTTAGGCCAGCTCACATCAAGCCAGCATCAAAATCAGTGTGTGGATCAGGCCACACACAAACATCTCAAATCTTCAAGCGACACTGTACTGTGTCAAGGGGTCACGAGTCGCTCCACATTTGAGCAGAAATCCGCTCCCATCCGCGCTGGACGGCCGAGGCTGTGTGATCCCCCGCGCACTTCTCGATGAGGTCCGCCTGGGATTGTCGGGGTTGCATAACTTACGTACATGTACATATATACATACCTGCATGGCAAGTCGAGTCACAATCTTGTACATGCTCATGAGCTTCGTCTCGATCGTATTGTGGGCCATGTTGAAGGAGAACACCTTCAGGGCATGTAGAGTCAGTACAGGCGTGGCTCCGCAAGGGATGGGACGGAACAGGTAACACTTGCAAACATGCATTTTAATTGTTCGTTCGCTGTTAGGGGTACTAGGCACAACTATCTCAACTATCTATAGTGTATATAGATTGAGCAATTCCGCCTGGCTGCCGGTCGCTCGGATCTTCAGGCCTACTGAGTTTCTGGTCCAGTAGACAACCATCTGGGAATGTGTCCAATCCTGTCTCACGGCGGGCCGGGCTGCTGGGTTCGGGCCGGGCGGCGGCGGCGGGGGTCCCGGCTTTGTCTTGGCAGCTGTGGCCTTGGCTTTGGCTGCGCTTTTGGGGCTCGCTTTGGCCTTAGCTTTACCCTTTGGGCGCGGGTGCCGCCCCTCATCCGGTCCATCGTCGGGATCGTCACCTTTATCGCCGGCCGGCTTCTTATCCTTCTTCTTGGTGGAAGCCTCGGCTTCTGCAGCTTCCTTGGGCTTTCTCCCGCGCTTTTTTGGCACGGCCTCTTCGGTCGGGTTCGGCTTGGCTGCCGGCCGTTTCTTGGGCTTCGCCTTGGGCTCGCTTGCGGTCTTCTTCTTACCACCCTTTTTCCTGTGCTGGCCGCGGTTTCCTTTTTTCGTGTCCGGAAACGTCTCGTCCTGGTTCTCTCGTGTGAGGAAAGCCGACTTCCCCCCATCCGAAGCTGACTCCGCAACCGCAACATCCTCAAGCTCCGAATGCTCCGCCACAGGCGCAGCTGCAACCGCCATCGCCGGAGCCAGGTGCTTCGGGGAGGCCGGGAACACGTCGGGCTGCGTCGGCGGGATGTCATCCTCCAGGATGATACAAGCGAGAGAGAGAGAGAGAGAGA